TGACGCTCTGATATTTGGGCAAAAACTCTGTGATAAATTTGGCTTCTACCATAGAGTTTTTGTCCAAATACCAGAGTGTCACCCCCAACATCATGTCTGGGTCATGTGGAAAGTTATATAGACATGTAACTCCACGAGGGAGGATTTTCCCTTTTTTTCTGGGTAAGTTTTCCCCACCAGCCGGCTGATCATCAGCGGGGAGGGGAGGCCTGGCGCTGGGGGATCCCCACCTCCCCGGGGTGGGGGGGTCTGGCAACCCTAGTTGCCAAGGGCCTGATAGGGAAAGGGTGCTGTCACCTTAATATAGGCTGAATGAGATGTTATTTACCAGGTAATATTTACCTCCATGCTATGAAAAGCTTCAGCTGCCCATTTCCACACACTAAGCCTCTGTTAAAGGAATAGGTTTCTGCTTGCAGGCAACCCTGTCTACTGTGAGGGTTGGTCCTTCCTCCCTGGAAATCTGCTTCTGCTTGCCATTTCAAGTGGCTGGTAAGGGCCCAGCTCAGCCAGGGGATTTCAACTAAAAAAGTGGGCACTGTTCCTTGGCCAGTGGCTACCTAGATGGCACATTGTGGGCATGTTTAGTCATATCCAATCTCAGAATACATGCCAAGAGAGACATTTGCACCTGCCACCCGACATACCAGTTTTGATAGGTCACCACAACCCCCCATTCATGGATTGGTGTCTTAGTACTAAAAGACTGTGGTGCTGAGTGAGCTAGGAGAAGCTAGAAGTCAGTACAGGGCAAAGCCTTTCCTGCTGCTGCCATGCACTGGAATGACTGAAAGTTAAGTTCCTCAGTTTCTTCCACATGATGACAGAGTGCTGAGGGGTATCCAGTCACTTCTGGATGAAAGACAAAAGAAGCACACAGCAGAGGATCTGCAGAAACCATTCTATATATACAATAAAGAAGCAAAAACTAATTATATTGTAATTATATTGGTAATAAGGTTGATCCAAACAGTGGCAGGAGGAAAAAACAAACAAACCTGCTGCTGGCCTCTGCACTAGTACACCACTTCCAGGTACAACTGGGAATTCCTAGAGCTCCCCATTGACATTTCCAGGTTGTACCCGGAAGTGATGTAGTGATGGCGGCAATGTCACTGACATCACATGTCCCTCCCCTCCCCACTAGTTGCCAAGCTCAGCCTGACAACCCTAATTAGCAACCATCAAGTTTCTTGGAGATGTGAGCATCTTTTTTCATACCTCCTGCGTTGTTTTGAGTGTGCAGCAGTGCAATTCTAAACAGAGAACAGATTTTTAAGTCCACTGAAGTAAATGGACAAAAGGTGCAACTACTTAAGACAACACTGTAAAAGACAGTTGCAGTTTCCATGCAGCAAACAAACTAGGGTTTGGCCAGTTTTTCTTATGCATCAGGTTTGCATGGCCCCCTTTCCCTTTTCTTTTTCATGGACTCCAATTTCTTCCAGGGTTTTCTCAGCTGCAGCACACTATAGTTTACTCACCCCTGACCCAGGCAAACTGGTTTGTACAAGCTGTAGTTTGTCTGCAACTCAGAATAGAAGCAATAATCCTATTATAAATCTTGTATACAAACTGCAGTTTGTGTGACAAGGTAGAGTTTGAATATAACAATGCTGGGCATAAAAAGAGGAAATATGGGAGGGGGAGAATGATGCCCTAGCTGAGCTAGCGACTTAAATAGCTGGAAAATGTAGTGTGCTGCTGGTACCATTCAATGCATTCTTTCTAGTTAAAGTTGCCAGTTCTGCCAGCACATCACATTGCCACTTCATTGGAGGCAGAAATGCCACAGGTGAAAGTCCTCTCTATCAGTCTAGCTCTGTGAGGGGAAAAGCTTTCTATCACTCTAGCTCTGTGAGGAAAAAAGCTTCACCTGCTGAATTTCTCCCTGTCATGAAATTGTTAAACTCACAGGAGCTCTGCCAGAAAAAAAGTGGAACCATACTCCAGCCCAGGCTGTCCCGGGGGTCTCTTTAACCTTTGTTTGTTCCAAAGAATAATAGGCATCATTTCCCCCTCTAGAAGCACAGTGATTAAACCGCTGAAATCTCATTTCCCCTCTAACAAAATGACAAGAGGGGAAAAAAACAGCAAGAGTCAGAGGTAAAAGCCAGAAAAGTGAACATTTCCAGGAACAAAGTCCCAATAGACCTTTTCCTTTCTAGAGTGAGAAGTTCAAGCTCTTACCAGTGATGTACAATCATTCAAACTGAAAATCACCTGTGTGCAAATTGGCCTTTGATTATGAATTGTAAGCTTACATGCCAATAAAGGTGACTGGACTGGAATTGTAAGTCGCACGCTCACAATGTTGTTGTTTTTTTAAAAAAACAACAACTTCACATTTTATCGAGCACTAGTGTTTAATTGTGTTGGACTAGAATCTGGGAGACCCGGGTTCAAATCTCCTCTCATGCAATGGAAGCTCAATGGTTGAACTTGGGTCAGTCATACTCTCTCATCCTAGCCTACCTCACAGAGTTGTTGCAAGGATAAAATGGAGGAGTGGAGGAGAATGTAAGCTGCTTTGGGTGGGGGAGAAAAGGGGGGTATAAAATGCATACAACAGAATAATAAATATTATTTCAAATGTTTTGGACATGCATGTTCCCACACTGCTTCTCCATGGCTAGTTCTTTTTCACATTTGATATCTGCTGTCTGCCTAAAAACAACTAAACCCACTAAAGTACCTAAAAGATGCTTTTTGGGTTGCCAACAGGCCTGGAGAAAAATGTTCTGTCACTTTAATACAGACATAATGTGTGGAAATGGGCAGATGAAAATTTTCATAGCATGGAGGTAAATAACATCACCTGGTAAATAACTTCCTCTAATCTACTTAAAACTCCCTCAGTCCGACCGTAGTATCGAGGAGTATAACTAAAGCTGACATGATTGCCTGAGGAAAAACTTTATCTCCAGGTCTTTTAAATGAATATAAAAAAAACTTTGATTTTCTTTGAATTATTACCTATTTGTTCAATTTTTATCTCAGCTTTCTTCCAAGAAACTCAGGGCTAGGCTTGGCAGCCTCAAACTGGTCCTTCTCACTATCTGATGTGTCGGCAATTACCAGGTGATGTTATTTTAATTGCCTATTTCCGCTCATTAAACACTATTAAAGGGACAAGACATTTTTTTCCTGGCCAGTTGGCAACCTGAAGGATCAATCTGCTCAAAACTGTCATTCTGAAGCTGCCTACTAATGAGTATGCCTACAGATTGCAATAGTCCAAACTCAGGAATTGCTCATTTCAAAGTTGATTGCAGTCATTTAATTCTCATGACTCCTGTGGTTTACAGATTACACCATGGCACTTGAATAATTTTGCAATCCACAAGAACACCTGTTCTCCCCATGGTAATCATTCATGATTCATGGTGCCACACCTTGGCAGCTCTGAAGTTTTAGGTCGCAGCCTTTAATTCACATACTCTGGAGTAGCTCCCCGACCCTGCTATGAGTATTCTACTACAGCAGCTCACTTTGCTTCAAGAATCGGTTGTTGAGGCTTGTATCTTTATGATTGTTCAACAGCTTCTTTGCATGCTGCGGAGGCATCAAAGGAGAAAGCATTGTGTCTGCAGGCTTCTAAGCTGCTGGTTGACAGAAGATCCATTTTTACGGGCTTCATTGTTGTCTATTAAAAGGCATTTCTAGGATATTTTTACCTTAATAAGGGATATTTTTACCTTAGTAAGGATTTGTGATAACATACTTGCATAGAGATAGCACAGGATAAAATCTGACAGGCTGTAAGAACATAAGAAAAACTCTGCTAAAACAGACAAATGGAGTATTGAGTCCAGCACCCTGTTTTCCACAGTGGCCGGCCAGATGATATGGAAAACCCACAAGCGGGGCACCAGAACTCAAAGTCTTCCCCTGTTTTCGGTCGCTCACAACTAGTATTCCAGGTATATTGCTCCGGCACATGGATGTTCTACTGAACTGTCCTGGACAGTAGCTAGTGATTGGCCTATCCTCCTTTATAAGAATTCCAAAAGAGTAATGTGGCATAGCAAAAATAAACAGAAGTGTACTATTACCTAAAAGATTGTATTCCAGCACAAGCTTTTATGGGCTAGAGCCCACTTGAGATACAATAGAGTGACTCCTTGCAAGGCAGACATTTATACGGGGGGGGGGGGATACTGAGCTGTGACATGCAGGAAGTACGGAGTCAGATGTAATTGTGTGAGATTTTAAAAATACAGAGATTGTTCATAATAGCAGTAATTGCCTCCATAAATTTTAAAGCTATCTATGGTAGTGGTGAATGATCAGTACATACTGTGGCGGTGAATTACTGGGTGATCAATTATTGAATTATTGGGTGATCAATTACAAACTTTTTGTCTGTCCTCCTGAATCTACTACCTGCAAGTTTCAGTATTTTAGGAGAGAAAGTAAAAGTCACTCAAGTAACATTCACTGTTACTTAAGTAATTGTGCTTAAATACCTTTACAAGTGGCTGCTGTTGATGCTTAATTGATTAGCACACTACTTTCATGAGATTGGGCCGTGGTTGTCTCAAGGGTACATTCTTAAGCTCACTGAATACCTAATACTGTCTTATCGGCCACATTTAGATTAATCATAGACAGGTAAAGAGAACCGGGGATAACCCTTTCAGTGAATATATGTGCCCCTCAAATTCTGATCTTATTAGTCACTATGAATATGCAGTCATGAATGAGAACAACCCCTGCTGGTCAATGAAGGCAGGCTGCAAAAGGTGCATGATCTTGTGTGTGGTAAAAGGATTGTGATCGAAGCCAGCCAAAGAACATGTTTGATGAACATAACCTAATTGCCACAGCAAATCTGTAAGTGCTGACAATACAGTACTCCACTGTGCCAACAAATGCAAAAGGCTAATAGCACTATGACCTACTGAGGAATAAGGAAAAACTGGTAACTGGAGTCCCAGGTGGCCTCTGTTGCTATTGGCTAATCCTAGAGGGTCACATGGCAAGGCTTCTTTTTAAAATCATCCTTAGTGAGTGAGAGCAGTGGTGGTGTTGCTCTGGAGTGTTCAGAAAAGGTGCTGAGTTAATCAGCCACAATGTGTGAGCAGTTTTTGGGAACGTGGAAGCTGGCTTCTAGTGAGAACTTTGATGATTACATGAAAGAAATTGGTAAGTAATATTGGTCATGGTTTGATGTGGTGATAATGGTAATATTTTACTTTGTTTTGGGGTTGTTGTTTTTTTTTGGAGAACTGAGTTTTTGCTATTTCAGTACCAAAATAAGTTTTCTGTAGTCTTAAATTCTTCTTCACATCCTATGAGAAATGTAGCTGCTGTATAATTCCTTGGCTATTTATACTGACTAAATGAAGGATTTTTGTTTGTTTTTGTAGTGAATTATAAGAAGTAAAATGTTGCAATTTCTGTTTAGTTATTCTAGGGCTGCTAGCTCTGGCTACAGAAAGTCTTTGGACTGTGTCTGTGGAGGGCTGAATTTAGGGAGGGAGTGGAGCTATTTTCTCTAGCACTCTGTAGCCTAGGATCAGTTGTAATCCTGGGACAATTCTAAGCCCTACCTGGAGACTGGCAAACCTAATTTCTTGTTAAACTTGTTGCTAATCCTATGCATGTTTTTAATTATGTTAATTTTTTAGATTTCTAAATCTGTATAACCACAAATGTGCTTACTAGGGAATTTATGCTTACTCTGTAGAACTTGAACTCCACAGCAGCATGGTTAACTTTGCTGATTAATGTCAATGTGATATGTATGTTCTGCCAAAACTGGCTTCTTTAAAAATGCTTCAGTGAATTTTTCTTTGCTCAGAAATGCCAAACAAGAGAAAGCTGAGAACACAATAACCATGTGTACCCAGCGGCTGTTCAAACCGTATTGGGATTACTGTGCAGAATGATTACCAAGATTAAGTCCTTCAAGAATGTGAGGGGGAGTCCCTCCCAGTTTACTTCAATTCAAAGTGTTTTCTTGAGGAATGTGTGTGTATTTAGCTGTTGAGGGGAAGCTGGTATCTTAATGAGTTCCCTACTACAGGTGTAGAGACCTGGATTCAGAGTTCTGGAACAGGTGAGAGCCCTTTTGGACAGTGCCTGTTTTATGTTAGTGTTCAGTGTACATCCCAGTGTGGTAAAAGATTGCTTTTAAGTTAACTGACCATAGGGTTTCACATCTTCTTATCCCTGAGTTTTTCTAGCTTTAAATTCATTAAAAAAAACCATAAAAATAGAATACTAGGGGTGTTTTTGCAGAAAAGCATTCTAAGCCTTTCTGATCCTTCTAAGTCTGCAACTTTTGTTTCTTCAATGTTGACAGAAACTAAGTTGCTTTACTGGTAGGGTGGTGCCCTTCCAACCTCAAGCAATTACTTTACTGCCTGGAATCAGGTGCTGTTTCAGATGCCTTAAAGTGATTCTTCAGATGAACAAACTTTGCTTTGTCTGGCTGCTGCCATGGTGGCCCCATGGATTTGAACAGATAGTGGTGCAATGGATGTCCTCGGAGTGATGTCCTTCATTAATTAAATCAGTTATTTACATATATATTCTCTGGCTTGCCATATACTTACTAAGCAGTACAGCAAAGCTGGAATGAAAGTTCAAAAGGTGCTAATGTCAAAAAGAAAAGTACCTGATCTATCCAATGTAGGACTATTTGAAATATGCAGGAGAGAGGTATGGCATGTTCTACATTGCATTTCCCTTTTTAAAATAGCTCCTCTCCGACTACTTGTTCTGGTGGCGCTTTCTTCTCGTTGGGAGAAACAGTTGGGTGACAGCTTTTTCTCCATGTTCAGCACCCATCTTCTGCATTTCAATGCTTTGCTTTAGATCTCCCTTTGCTATTTCCTACACCACTGTAGGATTTTTCATGCCCAAGATGAAGCTGTGTTCGCAGTGTTCTCTCTCTGTCTCACAGAGAGAACAGATTATGAGGCAAGTATGAGAACCTAACGATGGTCTTTGTTTCTAGGAGTGGGCTTTGCTACTAGGAAGATGGCTGGTGTTGCCAAGCCCAACGTCGTCATCAGTTGTAACGGGGATATTGTAACCATCAGAACAGAGAGCACTTTTAAGAACACGGAAATTAGCTTCAAACTGGGAGAAGACTTTGAGGAGACAACAGCAGATGATAGGAAAGTAAAGGTTAGTCCTGTATTGTCTCTTAAAGCTATTACTGTGTTTTTGTGTTCGAAAGCAAGAAATTGCAAGTAGATAAATAGGTACCACTTTGGTGGGAAGGTAACAGCGTTCCGTGCGCCTCGGCATTTAGTCATGCAGCTACATGACCACAGAAAAGTCTGCGGACAGCGCTGGCTCTTTGGCTTGGAAACAGAGATGAGCACCACCCCCTAGAGTCGTATTAGACTACTTTCGAGCAAGGGAACCTTTACCTTTACTATACTTCAAGAGGGACTAGCACGAAGTACCAATGTAACTCAAAGGTGCCTAGGCTAAACTTGAGTGGAGGATGCAGGTGAAGATTTTGGTCACCTTGTGAAAAAAATCATTTTTTTCTTTGGAGGTTTGAAATGAGTAAAACCTACACTCTGAGTTTTAATCCCCCCCCTCTGGGCAGAGAACAGACAGGGAAGGAGAAAGTCAGTTGAATTGCTTTCCAGACTTACCTCAGCCCACCTTCACACAAATGCTAATAGGTCTAGCTAGAGACAATCGGATGGGCCAGTCCCCCCCCCCCAAGCAGGAAACAGAGATTTGGAGGAATTGACTAGAAAGACTTCAGAAATAAATTTCTTGAGACATCAGGAAAAGCTTCCTTGACTTGGCCTGACCTGGTCAGTGAGTGGGAAAAAGAGAGAAGATAAAACTCCTGGAAGCAAGGAGGAAGCTCTCTTTGGTGCGGAGTCCATCAGAGCAGACAGAGCTCTTAACTGAGGTCTGGAGGAGGCAACTATTAACCACGTGCTGGAGAGCTGAAGGAAACTTCAAGGTAATTCAAACTCTGTAGAGATCTGTAACTTCCTAAACTAAGGAACCTGCCCTATATTTTAACATCTGATAGGGCAGGGCTGTTAAACTCACAAGGGCCAGAGGGCCAGATCTGACATAAATGAGGCCTTGTCAGGCCAGGCCATGAGTGTCGTAAAATGTAATGCCAGGTAGCGGAGGTAAGAACACAAACACAGTTAAAGATATTTTAAAACTTAAAATAAAATGTGCTTAAAACATTAGCACTCTTGCAATATTTTGTTTATTTAACAGTCTCTGATAACTGAAACCTTTCTCTTTGATTATTGCATTAAAATCTGGAGATAATATCTGTGCTGTAGCAATCTTGAGTATGATGTTCAGATCTTGTTCAGGTTCTAGTGTGTATCTGTAAGTTGCAATGTATAGTGGTCAGTATCAGGTCTACTATCCAAGAAGTCCAAGTTCAAAACCCCCAGTCTACAAAGGAAATGTGCTGGGTGAAATTGGTCTGGACACACTCTTAGCCTAATCCACCTCACTGGCTTGTTGTTATTCCTCATCTAAATAGTTAACACAGCTTTCCTACTGAGAAAGACTGGGTCATGAGGACATGAATACAGTGAAAAAGAGGGGAACCCTGTTGCACAAAGGAGAACCCTGGCATAATGAGCCCAACAAATCTCCCCCTCTCTGCAGCAAGATAAACTCATACCTTGAATGAAACTTCATTGGTCTTAAAGGTGCTTTGTATTTCTCCCATGCCATTGAGGTAACTGGGCAAAGTAAGCTCTGGCTCTTTCCCCCCCTCCCCCCCAGGGGATGAGGAGGGGGGAAGAGCATCAGCCAATGGAGGGAAGAGAGGCTTGGCTCAGTAGCTCTGCTGTGCAACTGAGAGAGCCTGTCAAAGCAACCTCTTGCTTTTTCCCTCCCCCTCTGTCCCTCGCCAAGGGAGGAGGAGCCTTAGCCAATGGAGAAAAGAGAGGCTTTGCTCTGTAGCTCCTGTGTGACTGAGAGAGCCTGTCAAAGTAAGCTGTGATGCAGAAGGAAGTGAGACAGAGGAAAAAAGAAGCAGATGACAGCCAGTTGCTCACGAGCTGCATATAAGCCATCTGGGGGCTGCATGTTTGATACCCCTGTGATAGAGCATGTATAGAGGGACAGAGGAATTGTTTTACCTGTGGTTTTTTTTAAAATCCCTTGCTCAGTCTTGTGCTGTACTAAAAGTATGCTTGTGAACATTTTATTTTTAATAAGAACATAAGAACATAAGAGATGCCAATGTTGGATCAGGCCAAAGGCCCATCCAGTCCAACACTCTGTATCCCACAGTGGCCAGAAATACCAGTGCCATCAGGAGGTCCACCAGTGGGGCCAGGACATTAGAAGCCCTCCCACTGTTGACCCTCCCCAAGCACCAAGATGACAGAGCATCACTTGCCCCAGAGTCCCTATCTATACCTTGTGGCTAATAGCCACTGATGGACCTCTGCTCCATATGCTTATCTAATTCCCTTTTGAAGCCGTCCATGCTTGTAGCTGCCACCACTTCCTGTGGCAGTGAATTCCAAGTGTTAATCACTCTTTGGGTGAAGAAGTACTTCCTTTTATCCGTTCTAAATAAATACCTAAATAAATACATTCTAACTTTTGATGCTGGTAGTGGTTCTCTGTACCACATAGACCTCCACAGTCTTGGACATGCTATTTTAAAAGGAGTGTCAGTTGGCAAGTGGCTGTTCCTTCAGGGACACACAAATCAGTAAATGGTCCCCATGGTGACCAGGCTCTGGGCAGTGGGAGACACAGAGGCAAGGCCTCAGAACTTGGAAGGGAACTTGGAGTCCTGACCCTCCCAGTGGGCAATTCCTTACAAAGGTCAGGTGGTGGCAGTGGCTACCCGAGAGAGAAAGATAATCCTTTCCAGGTGCTGGGAAAATCTTGGAGGGCAGGGTGGAACAGGGCTGCAGGCTGGAGCAGGCTCATTCCATCACACACCTTAACCAAGTGTGTAGCAGATCCTTGCTCTGGCAGGCCTTGGAAATCTCTGGCAACTGATAAGAAGTTGCTTGGCCTCATGACGGCCTGGATGCTCAGTCTTTTAATCTGATAACCAATGTTCCCTCTAAGCTGAGTTGGTGTGAGCGAGCTCACAGGGTTTTTTTAGCTTCCGGCTCACACATTTCTGTCTTAGCTCAGGAAGGAGGGCTCCAGAGCAAACTGATTTACGCAGTAGCCAAATCGCTTGTTCACAACTTTAATGCCAGTAGTTTACAAAGTAGAATTTTTGCTCACAAGACTCCCCAGCTTAGAGGGAGCATTGCCGGTAACTTAAGTTACTGACTGTGCAGAGTGGTCTCCATGTGGATCTAAAGCATGGGCAATGAGCTGCTGTTGCAGCAATGAGCCCTGGTTTAAATCATGCTTATGGGTCGGGTGTTGGCTTACAGGTCCAGTGTCTTGCTAAGCAACTGACCAAAGGGCAATCAACTGATCTACACAGCTAAAGAGTTCTGCCTAGACTTTCAGCCACCATCCCTCCCCCGACCCACCAGTCTGCTCTCCACTGTGTAACCATGTTCAGCACTCCATCTGCCTAGTATTAAACTTCTGTTTTCACCAAAGTCCAGTATAAGCAGTAGTAGGTTTAATATCCTTCTTCTGGAGTTTCTTCACACGTCACCCAAACATGCAATAGGCAAATCATGGTTTAAGAAGTCCACTGGCTTTTATCTAGTGTGTGGCATTTGTCTCTCCTCTCCCCCCCCCCCCCCCCCACTTAAAAACACAACAACAGTAAAATGGTTGTGGCATAACTCTGCTTTCTCAGAGTACATTTCAATCATGGTTTGGTGTATTTTGGTATGGTCTCCTGATGAAAGAAGAATTGTTCTCTTCTCTTAACAGAGTCTTGTGACGCTAGAAGATGGAACTCTCAATCACGTGCAGAAATGGGATGGGAAACAGACCACAATTAAGAGGAAGATAGCTGATGGAAAGCTGATTGTGGTGAGTTCACTTCATTTTCCAGGAGCTCTGTGGACCAGTATCAAAATTCTAAAGTAATACAAGGGGAGGGTGAAAATGGAAGTAAATGTGAGGTGCCGTCAAGTTGGCTTTGTTATGTACTAGACATGTACAGAAGCCACTTACATACAACACACTGAAATGTTCTTTTAAGGCATTTGAATATGCACCATTTTTGTGCTAAAGCAAAACATGGAACACTACATTGTAATGTGCGTCTTGCACAGATGCAGTGTTCCTTTGCATTTGGAGGAGAAAAGCGGAGATAGATTTATGCATGAGCTAAGTGAGATGGAACTTGGGGCGTTTACATTTGGTAATGCCATGGGCTCTCTCTCTTAATTTGGCATCGCTTCGAGCCTCAGCATGTCCTAATTGGGGCTGGCAAAAAACGCCATTACACAATGTTGGGAATGATAGCCATGGTGCAGCTTGGCTTGGTCTGTCTTCCTCCATCTGACTTGCTTGCATGTGTGAACTAGCCCTAGGTTTCTTAACCAGATACGTTAGTTATTAGATGCCACCAAATTTCCTGCAGAACTTGGTATGTGTCCATGCTTGCAAAGGATCCACCTGCACAGTGTACCAAATAAGGGTGGATCCAGCAACTTGATGAGATGATACTATATACTGACAACACTCAGATTAAGGGAAGCCTGTATACCAGGTTCTTCGGTGCTCAGCTTATTCCATTTATTTGTGTGTTTGTGTAGGGCTGTTAAGTCACATCATTATTCGACCATTCAGAGTGACCAACTCTACTACAGCCATGTGTACTAATGCCCTTATTCTCTCACAATGTGGTTGTGAAAGTTCTTGGTCCCCAACGAAGAAAATAGGGTGTGTAGCCCAAGCTGGCCCTTTTGAAAATAACATTAAGAGTTGATTGCAGTTCTTTCATATATACAACTGTGAAATCCATTTTCTTTTGTAGAGTTCTGTTGCTGAATCTGAACTGTCTTGTACTGATACTCCCACTCTCGTGGGTTTTTCTCTCTTAGGAGTGTGCGATGAACAATGTTGTCTCCACCAGAGTCTATGAAAAAGCATGAAGGCTCTTGCCACCTGATGAATAGGACCTTGAAGTGGAAGATAAAGCTCGGTTCACAGAGCAAGAGCCCTGCAAGGCTAATTGCTTCCCAGAACTGGCCAACTGTAAAGCAGCTGTGCATCTTCTGAAGTATTGTGGTTATTCAATAAAATGTTCACCTTTGGGGAAAAGCTGATCTTGGTCTCGCTTATACTTTATGAAAGATGCGGAAGGGATGCTTGAGGAAGAATTTCAGGTTTGCTTTGTGGGATCTGCCAAGTTTTGTTAACTTGCTCTCAAATAGCAGGGTGAAAACCTGACATAATTGCTCTAGTTGTATTTCTCTGTTCCACTAACTTGAGAGATCTTCAAGACAGTACAGCTAAGTGTTCTTAGGCATATCAAAATGATCCAATTGGAAATGGTAGAATGCACTTATTAGAGCTAACATAGAAATTTGATCTTTCTTCTCTCTTGCCACAAACTAATAGCATCCCCTGCTTTGCATTTATGCCATATGAAGAAAACTGGATGCTCTGCCTTGGCTTCCATACTGGAGTGCTTATGCATGGTGTTCTGTAATCATCCGGTTTCCAGGTTTTGCCTGTCCTCGATGTCACCTAGCTGTTCTCACCGCTGAGGACCCAAAGCAGCTTATGACAAAACTCAATTTAAATTTAAAAAGATGCAGAATTTCCTCAAGGAAGAGGAATGTTTTATTTTGAAGAAATTTCTTATGTATTTTGAAGACATTCCAGCTTTTAGGGGTACCAGATGCTCATCCACAGGTCTCAATCAGCTTGGCTGGGTGTTTCAGTCCCAGTTCTCTCCCCTCTGATCCTTTACTCTGGTCTTTTTTAGGGGAAAGAACATACTTTAAACACATTAGCATGCTTTCTGGAAGGGATGGGTACATTTTACTGCCCTACATTTCTGCTATCTTCTCAGTCTCCACCCCCATTTAGGTACCATTGTCCCACATTGTACCATTTTCCTGCTGTACCCTTGGGTAGTGCTTTTAATTTATTTATTTAACACAATATACATCCTGCCTCTCTGCCCTCACAAGGGCCACCAAGGTGGCCAACACATTAAAACATAATGAAAGCACATTTTAAAACAAACCAAGCAATAGCAAATTATCATTAAAGCAATTAAAACCAGAGCTAAAAACACACAAAGGCGTAAAAGTAACAGTGAAAATGCTGGACAGGAAGAAGGTATCACTGAGGGAACAAAAGTTGTCACCTGTTCATGAAAGATAGGGATAGATGAATGTCAGGACATTCTGCTGATGGAAGATGGGAACAGATGAATGTCCCTAGGGAAACAGGTCCGGCATTTGGGTGCCACCACTAAGAAGGCCCTCCCCCAGGTTGCTACCTGCCTAATCTCAGAAGTCAGGGATGTCCAAAGCAGGGCCTCCAAAATTATTGTAGTTTTCTAAGGGGGTAGGCGGTCCTTCAAGAATGTTGGCCCCAGCGCATATAGGGCTTTAAAGGTCAATCCCAGCTCCTTGAATTGTACCTAGGAACAAATTGGGAGCCAGTGTCAATAGGCCAAGTCTGGAGTGATATGGTCCGTACAATCCACTCTAGTCAACACCCTGGCTGCAACCATTCTGTACCAACTGAAGATTCCAAAGAGCAGTCCCATGCAGAGTGCATTGCAGTAACCTATTTTTTAAAAAAATCAGCAATTGCTATATTGTCATAACAAATATAAAAATTGTAAGAACCACTGTGCATATGTAAAGAACAAAACAAAAGTTGCCATAGCAGTGGCGATTACCACACCCCTGAGAGCCTCTGTGGAACATGGGGAGAAGGGAAAAGTCAAGAAAGTGAACAGAAAGTATCTTAGTGTAACAGATCCATCCCCAAAGCACATGCCTCCGCAATGGTGATGAAAGCAACACAATGAGTCCCTGCTGTGTGGGAGCACCAATGCCTTTGCTAGAGTCTTGAATCAAGACAGAAAAATGAGTCCAGATTGTTGTTGCTGTTGTTGTTCATTTGCACATCAAGTCTGACACTTAGCGACCCCATGGACCACATCACGCCAGGCCATCCTCTGGAGTTTGCTCAATTTCATGTTCGTTGCATCGATAACACTGTCTAACCATCTCATCCTTTGCCATCCCCTTCTTCTTTGACTTTCAATCATTCCCAGCATCATAGTCTTCTCCAGTGAGTGCTCCCTTCTCATTTGTATTTGAGCTTCAGCTTCAGTATTTGGCCTTCCAGGGAACAGTCAGGTACTTCTGTTTATTTCTTGACTTCATTTATACCCTGCTTCTTTCCCCAAGGGGACCCAAAGCAGCTTACATTGTTCTTCTCTCCACATTATCCTCACAGTAGACCTGTGAGGTAGGTTGGGCTGAGTGTGTGACTAGCCCAAGGTTGCCCAGTGTGCTTCCATGGAAGAGCAGGGATTTGAATCTAGGCATCCCAGAGTCTAGACTGACAGTCTAACCACTATACCACACTGGCTCAAGTTCACATGAAGCTGCCTTATGGAATCAGGACTTTGGTTTATCAAGGTCCATCTTGTCTACTCTGACTGGCAGTGGTTTGCCAGGGTCTTTCAAGGTCTTTTGCATCCTCTGATCCTCTTCCCTAGAAATGCCAAGGACTGAACCTCAGATCTTTAATGCTGAGCCATGGCTGATCCCCTGATGTAGTAGATAATACACAAAGATTATCTTTTCTGTGTGGTGTAGTGGTTAGAGTGCCAGACAATGACCTGGGAGACTCAGGTTTCAATGCCTCCTCTGCCATATAAGCTCACTGGGTGACCTTGGGCCGATCATACACTCTCAGCCTAACCTGAAGAAGTGAGCAGTGACTCACAAAAGCTCATACCCTGCCACAAATGTTCGTCTTTAAGGTGCTACTGGGCTCTTGCTGTTTTCTACTGCTACAGACAGCCTAACATGGCTATCCATCTCGATCCACCTCACAGGGCTGTTGTGAGGATAAAATCGAGGCAAAGAGAATGGTGTAAGCCACTTTGGTCCCCATTTGGAAGAAAGGTGGAATATAAATGAAATAATATCTTCAGTCCTACCCTTCTTCCAGGAAAAGGCATCTAGTCCTGCCATTTGACCTTCACAATCATCCTGTAAACTAGAAACAGCATGCTGGCACAAGGTCAGCCAGTGAGTGTCATAGCATTGGTCCGATTAGCAATGTCTACTCTGCTTGGCATAGCTTGTGCCACCTATGAAGTGTCAAGCTCTGTTGGGGGAGTGAGCAAGCCTTGCAGTGCAGTCAGTCCTAAATGATGCATGTTTGGCTTAATCTCCCCTGCCTAATCTGATCTATACAATGCAATGAACAGCTAGTCTCGCCTGTTGTCTGGCCAGGCTCTCTTAAATTGTTTATGCATCCTGCTACTAGTTCTGTTACCTGAAGAACGTAAGCACGGTTACTTGTCTTTAGTGCCTGATGATTTTCATGTCTTGAGTAACTCAAATTCATCAGTCAGCAGTCTTTTACAATGAAGAGGCAGACGTCATCAAAATTCAAGGCAAGAGATTGTCTCAGATAATTTTCACTGTTTTTAGTAGCTCTTCTGATTCTCATTAAAATAGTTCATGGAAGAAGAGCTTTGTCTGAAAGTATGAGATCATGCTCATGTTTTACTGAAGGGACTACCTAGATTGCTTGGTTACAGACTTTCTTTAAGAGGCAATGTGACAAGACTGTCAAGGGTCAATGCCTAGCAGACCTTGAGAACCTTCAAACAGGATTCTATGGAGACAGTTAAGAAATGACAGTTGGGAACTGACAGTTGAAGAAGAGACAGTTAAGCACTGACTGTGGTCTGGGAAGGAGGCAAAAGGAGTGAGAGGATCAGAGAGGAATGGGAAAGCCAAAATGGGAAATTGCTTCTAATTAAGAGAAATAATCCCTGCCCAGTGAAAAGGGAGATAGTTCTTAAAAGAGATGTGATCCCTGGTCTGTGTATATAGAAGGATTTTGGGAACTTGGTTGTATGTTCCTGCCTTCTAGACATTAAGAGTCAGTGGCCCTTTCTGCACTGACAGCTTGCTCCAGAGAATCCAAGGAGTCAAGCCTTAAGGGTTGGCTTTGCAGTTGCACACATTCCCTCTGCGCTGTCCCCCCCCCCCACTTTGGTTTGTTTAACTCCCTCCCTCCCTCCCTCCCTCCATGGTTCTGCAAGAAGAAAGTGATAGGAGGGGAAAATCCAGACCCACACATGCAAGACTGACCCATTTGGGAGCAGGGAATCCTCTAGTCCTTTATATTTACTGATTCCTTCTTATGCTCTCTCAGGCTTCTAAAATGTTTGCCTGAATGAGAGGACACATTCTCTTTTGTCTTTGGAGAGGGAGGGAAAGAAAACAGAACAGGGAGGGAGCATCAACATAAAGAGAGGCAGAAACAGGGAAGGGGCAGTGGGCAGCACTTAAATACCCACAGAAACAATTCTACTTTAGAAAGAATTAGCAATTGAAAAGCAGATGAGAACAAAGAATCATGGCAAAAGGAGTTTTGGTAGCTGTGAGGCAACTGTGTGCTGGAAGTGGTCTGACTGCAGATTCCTGTAAAACAAATACAGAAACAAGAGAAAGCCCAAAAACAAAGTGGAAGTGAGAGTGGGAGGGAATGCAGAATAGGATGCGCTCAAAAACCGAGGCAAAATACGGGTGCAGAAAAGGCCAGTGACACTCAGAAATCTATACTTGAGTGTTTAAGCAGAAACTGAAAAGAAAGCCTCTCTCATCAAAGTTTTAAAATACCTTTTTGAATAGCAGAAGCACTTACTTGTTGGCAACAAACTATCTGGAGTGAGTGTGATTACAAAGTTACCTCAGTTTTATTATTGGTTCACCTCATACATGATCCCACCCCTGATTCCACCTGACCTTTTCGCCTAAAGTAAATAAAATATTTTATTTTGAACTTTCAAAAGCCACTTGTGTGCCATTTCAGAAGTTGAATGTAAGAAGGTGGTTTTATCTCTTTCCTCAGTTCCCTGGGCTGGGCCAGCATCAAAATGTATGCATTAAAGCAACTGGATAGGACAGCCATAGACAAATAAGAAAAAAATAGATATGGGGCTACTCAGCAAGAAAGAAGAAGTAAAAAGGGGAAATCCTGTGTGTGAGGGAGGAAAGAGAGCAAGATTGTCGTAGGCAGTTTATGGCCAGATCCATTCACCTTCCCT